CCCAAAGGGCGGGATACAAATAAATTTTATTATTATTATTTATTATTATTATGATCTCTGCCTGCTTTGGTTTTTGCAAGCTGCTTTGAGTCTCCGAGGCGGAAGGCAGAGGTGAAATGAACAACCACAGCTTTAATAATAGTACTTCCCCCAAATGAGTAATCTTTCTGAGCTCTCAAAGGAAGAACTGCATAAGAGGAAAAAAGTCCCCCGCCTTGCTTTTGTGTTCCTTTTGTGCCTAGTCTGGGCTGTTGTGGGACTTCAAGTTGTTTTCGGCTTATGGAGACCCTAAAGGTGACCCTATCAGGGTCTTTTCTTGTCAAGAGTTGTTCAGAGAGGGTTTCCCTTTGCCTTCCTCTGAGGCTGAGAGAGTGTGACTTGCCCAAAGTCACCCAGTGGTTTTCCATGGCTGAGCCAAGATTCGAACCCGGGACTCTGTTGAAATATGCACAAGAGCTAGAACTTTGGACATTATAGGATTTAATGGTGAGCTGCTGGCCTTCACCTCTATCTTTTATTTTATTCAGCTGCTGAGCTAGCTTTCCTTTGTGACTCTTTTTCTTTTGCATTATATTTTGTCTTACCCTGATTCTGTTGTTTGGTAGGTTTGCTATTTTATATTATTTTGCTTGCCCTCGTTCTTCTGGTTCATTTTGTATCTTTTGTCTGTATCCGTTAGGAATACTTTTCTTATACACATTGTTTGGTACCTTGTAACAGAAACAGAAAAACATTATTTATACTACTTTCATGCTTTTTTCCTCTTTTCAATCTTATTGTTTCAACAGTCTCCAGAGTTGACTTGGGGCATATCAACACTGTAGAAATGGTGCAGTTTTGATGCCACTTCAAGTGCTGTCACCCATGGGATTTGTAGTTTTACAAACTGCCAAAGTTAACTCTGAGGAGGAAAGAGGAAAGGAGGGACTGAACTGCTGCTTTTCTCAGGAACTGTTACATGGATCTTGTCATTTGTAATTGTAATTTGTAATTGGTTGACTGGCCGGAGTGACCAGTG